TCCTACCTCTGCTGTTACTGCCTAACCAATATTTATCTGGTATTTCCCTTGTTGCTAAGATACCATCAGCCTGTTGGAACAAGGAATGTATTTATTTACATGGTCTGGCCTGAGGAGCATTCCCAACTTCCCATTTAAAAAAAAAAAAAAAAAGTTTGAGGTTTGAAGTTATTTTTGAAAGCATTTGAATTTTTTGGTCAGGCTGGGAGAGAAAGATGACTGAGATCTGAGAACACATGGCTTCAAAATGTTTTCTTTCAGGACCAAGGGCCAAATTCTGAGCACCTCTTGGAGGGATTTTTATGTTGTGTTGTGTTTTGGGTTTTTTTTCACAGGTCTTGGAAGAGTAAATGATATTATTTTTGAGCAAACTATTTGGGTTGTTTCTTATTACTGGCACATAGCCCAGGAGAGTAAGCAAAACAGAATGCACTGCGAGCAGAGGGAGGGGGAGAAGCACCATTACTTGGGAACGTCTGGACACTCAGAGCTGAGTTTGTCGTGGTAAAAATGTGACTTTTAGTGTGTGAAACTACATGGGGGCCCATGAAACCTGACAAAACCTGCTCAGTTTTCCCATTGTCCTACATGTGCTCCCTTTGCCTTGGTCAGAGCATTTGTGAAGGGCTTCTGTGTCCTTAGATGAGAGTTTTGGGACTCTCTAGAAAATCCTTGGGCTTTTGGCTCTGTTTTCATTTGTGTGCATTAGGCAGAGGAGTGAGGGTGATGGCAGTGCTTGTAGATACTGTGAAGCACCAAACAGATGTGCTTTAATCAACTCTGTGCTACACAAAGTGACTTAAATCCCAGCGTAGCAGGTTATTCCTTAGGCTGTTCTCTTCTCCTTTTAACTAGTCCCATAAGAAGTTGTAAAATGTGGAGCTCATAAGTAAACCCTGGAGAACTGTGGTGCTGGATACCACTGCTGCTCCAACTGGGAAAACAGTGTTTTGTGAGCTGTTTTTATTGCTCCATTAAACCCCATTGCATGATTGAATTATTTACATAGTATTATTTGATTATGTATGCATGTAAAAATACTCTGAGGAGCACCAAAATGCTCTGTCTGCAGTGCAGTGCTCTGGGCTTCTCCTTTTGCAGTATTTCAGGTGTATTTTTCCTCTTTCTTTCCTTCTAAACTGGTTGTAGAAAGCCAAAATTATGGTGTCAAAATTGCAGTCTAGGCCTGAGTGCTGAGTACTCTGGAAAATGCGTCACAGTCAAAGGAGAAAAGTTATCCCTGTGGGCTTGGAACACAACAAACTTCCCAGTGATCTGTCACATCCTGTCCTGCTTGTGGCCTGCCAGGGCTTGGGAGATGGTGTCTGCAAGTGGGACCATCACCATCTGTAGCTCGGGGGAGTCTGGATGTGGTGTGCATGACTGCTGCTTTCTGCTGGGGCCTGCAGAGCCATAAACCACCCCATAAAGACACACAGCCCAGAGGCAGTTCTTCACATCCAAATTCAATTTACATTTGTTCAGCTGGTTTCCAAATACTCCAGAGGCAGAGTTTGGATGGGAAGGGAAGGACAGGATGTGTTTGGTGGGGTAAGCTGGAGCTGTGTTGCTAGGTAGCTCATTGGTGTTGCCTTAGCACCAAGTATTAATAGACTCGAGAAGGCCACGGCTGTTATTTTGGTGTGATTATTTCTAATTAATTTCACAGCATGAGAGTTTGAAAAAAAAGTGAAGCTACTGAAGGGTTGTCAAGCATATGAAGACACAGGATATCTGCTTGATCACTACTTGTGAGACAGCTGAAAACACTGTTACAGAGGTTGTCTTACATGACTGCATTGTGTAGGGTTGATAATCTTTTTTTCTCTCCTATTGGCCTTTTCCTTTCCCTCTGTGTGAACTTCTGCCACCAGTCAGACTCAACCTCCTGCTTTCTGGTGTTGTGTGTGTGACTCTTGGGGAGGAAAGAGAAGGGAAAGAAAAAGCAGCAGAGGAGGAAGCAGTTGGGCAGGGCCAGCTGTGATAGACTCACTGTGTGCCAGCAGGAGCAACTCTGGTGTTTGGGGCAGTGCTTGGCCTAAGGTGGAGAGTAGCTGAGGTGTCCTGCAGGATGCTCATTAGTCTGTGCTGGCTTATCCAACTCTTCCCACCACCCAAAAGAAGCCTGGAGAGGTTGAGCTCTTCTGGAGCCACATTGCAGGAGCCACCCAGATAGCTAAGTGCAATTGTGACCTCCTGAGTGTGTCATGATTTGAAAAAATAAATACCACAGGACAACAAGATGTTTGAATGTAAAGCTTTCTCATCCCACAGGAGTGATGTTGAGAGATCATATATATTGAGAAAAGTGAGTTGATCTGCACCTTTAGTCAACTTGTACAGAAACTCAGAACAACCAACAGTTTGGATAGTCTGTGCTGTCACCCTGCAGGAACTTGGCTCCGTGGTTAAGGTGTTTGTAGAGATGTCAGTGATCTCCTGTGCTGTCACCAGCAGGAGCAATGTGCTGTCACCCAGCTCACGGGTCGGGACAGACACTTGGGGTGTCTCTGCCAGGAGCTCAGTGTGGATCATCTTTGCCGAGTGTTCCTGCCCTTCCTTTGAGGACTAACACTAATGTCTGTCACTGTCCCTTAGCTATGCCATCGCAGACAACTCCTACCGCTCCCTGCGCACGGAGAGGAAGGATCAGTGCATTCTCATCTCGGGGGAGAGCGGCGCGGGCAAAACCGAGGCCACCAAGAAGATCCTGCAGTACTACGCCGTGACCTGCCCTGCCAGCCAGCAGGTGGAAACCGTCAAGGATCGTCTGCTGCAGTCCAACCCCGTCCTGGAGGTAACTCCGGCACCCTGAGCCACAGCAGCAGCGCCCACACTGCCCTTGGGCACGGCTGAGCTGCCTGTCTCTCTGCTGAGCTGCCTGTCTCTGCTGAGCTGCCTGTCTCTGCTGGGCTGCCTCTC